GCAACATGTTTCTAAATTTTAATAAGCACTTCAAAGTACAATGGCGGTTTAGTTCCATTCATTGTTCATGCAAAAAGGATGGTATGAATTAATCTTACTTGGTATTTATATGTATGGTTTTTTGCATTTGCTTTCAAACTAAATTTAATATGTATGTTTGGTAGTTTGAGTTGGGTTTTTCCTTATATGTTATTTATATATATGGATTATAATTGAGCATATATAGTCGTAAATAAATACAATCAATCAAGATGGAACGAGATGTTAGCTTTTTGAAAGTGTTCAATCACACTCATAAACGTTTAGTGGGTCATGGTGATTTTATAGACAACAAGTCTAAATCCACCAATGTCTATACAAAATTGATTGATTTTTACTTCAAAATTGATGATATAATTGAATACTAACATTTTTCTTGTAGAAAATGTATAATTCTTTATTATCATAAAAGTATAGTGAAGATTCATCCTTTCAGTCAAAACTCAATCCGTATGCTTTAACTCAAGTAATTAGAGGGATGGAGACAACATGTGTGCTTAGATTCAACCTCATGCTCAAACATAAAAATAATCAAGAAATTAAAAATATAACGCAGTAGAAAAATAAACTAGTATTTAATGAAAGATACAGTCGAATCCTACTAGATCAATGTTTATGTTTTGCATGTAAGTTTCTAATTAATTACGAACATTCATAAGTTTAAAAATTATATATCTTACTCTAGATATCATAATCAAGAGCCAATTAAGTCCAAAAGGCTTGTGATGGAACCAAAAAAATCCTAAAAAAAAAATAACACGATTTAAAATCTTGAAATTGAAATCTTTGCTTATTCACCTTTAAGATTTGTTAAATCTTCAGCGACCTAAGAGTTTGGCCTCTAACAGTAATCCACACAGTGATTGAATAAGACCTTCTCAAAGATGGGATTTTACTTCTGCTAGCAAGTTTTGTTTCTAAAATAAAAAGACCAAAAGCTCTTACCGAATCTGATCTTGTAAGACAAAGAAAACTTTTTGGTTTGTTATTTATGAAATGGCTAAAAGGTGGCTAGAGGCTCAGAGTTTTAGTTTGTTAACATAATATATTTATATAACCAAACTAAGTTGTAACCCTAAATATGACAGCTGCATTTTAATTTAATTAAGTCTCTGTGAACTTAATTGCTTTCTCACTTTATTTTGGTCTATTCTAATTAAGTCCAACTTAATTAATTATCCTCAATTTAATCTCAATCATGTCATTTAATGTGTGTGACCCATTAGGCTTCTAACATGTTGGCAATAAATATAAATCTTCCTCAAATATCAATTTGATAATTGATTTATATTGATAGATCATGAATAGCATCTAACAATACAACATGACCACCCAAATGTTAAAGAATCAATTAAAGACTTTGATAAAGCCCTTTAGTGATAAGCCTCTTAGTGCAACACGGTCCTTTCATCAAATATCCTGGATATGTCATTAAACATGACTCAATGTCTACTTATGACATTCCATATTAGTTCTCATAATTTATGACTAACCTTATGAATTTAGGAAGATAACTTTCCTCTAATTCATCATCCTTTAGCTAAATACTTTGTACAAGTTAATAAAGAATTGAGAACAAGTGAGATACATCCCCTTATATCACTTGGGGTGATGAATCCTCTCTTGACCACTTATTCACCTTCGTATGTTTCATGGCATACTTAAAAACACCCTGTTTAAGCATCTTATTACCTCCAAACCTGTAGGAGTGAAATTAAAGTATGTCATTCCTCACACAAGATGCCTAGTATCTCAAGTCCGAGGACTAGTTGCATGACTATCACATGAAAGCATATTCCATAGATACTTAAGTGAAATGCGAAATGGAGTTCTTACAATAGGTTATGTTCAATGGACTTGTTCTTTAACAAACACCCACATGTTATCCTCAAGTATCTCATATACTTCGATCTATGAGATCGATTGCTTACTTTCCAAGTAAAGAGGCTTAACATGTATTAGTCTTTAAGCATTGTCAATGCCCTATCTTGACAATACAATGACCAAGAATAATTTGAGGAACATGGCTTTGAGCATAGTGATCTCATAATTGTAACAACTTTACAATTCTCTTGCAAGACCTTTATGTTCCATGGGCTTCATCTAATTAGTACTTAATAACTCCTTATTATTGCACTAGCATGAAAGAAAACCTCTATCACATATATTTATATGATTAAATATGCATTAAATAACAATATATATTCAACCTCTATCACATATAGTTATGCGATTAAATATGTATTAAGTAACAATATATATTCCTTGACCAATCTAATTGGCTCAAGGAGATATACCAAAAGCACACTCACGTGTATGGGTTTGGTACTCAGGTGCTTGGTACAGCTCTACTTACTGGAACACATAGCAATACAACAACATCTGAGTTAAAGTATGGCGCTATCAATTCAAACACTCCTAGCCTTGCAATTGCATTAGAAGAAAAAATGAAAAATCTATCAACAAACTTGGGTAAGATACATGAAGAAATTAAGGAGAATAATGTCAATTTAATGGCAAACATGAAAGAAGCGATGGCAAAAAGTATGAGTGAATTTAAGGCATTTATGGAAGCAATGATCGTTAGTAATGCGCTTTTAAAACAAAGAAATGCAAGTACTTCGAGCTAAAGTTTTGATAAGTAAGAACACAACATTTTATGATATGACGTCTCTTTTTAGTTGTTGGACTTGGATACTTTTTTAGTATGGCATATAATAGCACATTTAGCTTTATGTTTGTATTTGTTTGACATTTTTAGATATTGTGTATTTATGATAATTTTGAATTGTATGAACTTGACTTTGAATTTTAGTTTTTAAAGTGTGTTTTTCTTATAAATTTTGAATGTGAATTATGGATATCAATTGATAATTTATTACTAAAATTTTAGTTGGTAATATATGTTGGAAAGGCATTTCTAATGAAAAATTCCGTGAAAAATGCTTTCTAACAAAAAATTCCTTTGGCAATATCTTACAGAATTACATCAGAAATGCATTTCCAATGGAAATTTTGTCAAAAATTTTCAATGAAATTTTCCATTTTGGTGAAAATTTCCAACGAAATTCCATGAGAAATGTTTTTCCAATGAAAACTTCCGTTAGAAATTTGCAACTGAATTCCATGGAAAATGCTTTTTCAACAAAAAAATTGTTGGAAATTTCTCAACAAAATTCCATTGGAAATGCTTTTCCAATGAAAACTTCCGTTAGAAATTTGCAACTGAATTCCATGGAAAATGCTTTTTCAACAAAAAAATTGTTGGAAATTTCTCAACAAAATGCTTTTCCAATGGACACTTCTATTAGAAATTTCCAATGGAATTGATACGATATAGCCAACGGATTATGTACTTTTTTCAATAAAATTTTTCGAGGAATTTCTAATAGAAAGTATTTCCAACGATACTTTTATTGACGGGATTTTCAAAAAAAATTTTCATTAGAAATCTGTCAAAAAAAAGGTATTTCCAATAAAATTTTAAATTTTTTCAATGAAAAATTTCATTGGAAAAAGCTTGTTTTTTGGTAGTATGTGGGCTTTATCCAGGTTGATACTCGATTTTTTTATTTTTTTTTTTGTTTTTCTAGAGTTTTAGAGGTGAGCTTTTGCAAAAGGAAAGGTCTGTGATAGATTTGGGATTTAGTATGGATGGTGGATTTTGTACCAGGGTTATAGGGTGGATGAACAGTTTATTCGTTCCTCTATGGTGGGTTACAGTTTTCAACTAACCCCCATTCATCTATAAAATTTCTAATGGCTTAGCAAAAAAAAATCTATCAATTATGGTGGTTGAAGCGTTAGTAATGAAAAATTGCTTTCTTTTTTTTTTTTTGCAGAAGAGGAAGTGTAAAAAGTAATTGAGTATAAAATTTTTATTTAAATCTTACCTCATATTCCTACTTCTTGAATTAAATATGTAGGGCAGAAAACACCAATTTTACCTTAATTAAAAGTTTAAAATCATGTTATATACCTTGTAATTACTTTTGAAAATATTCCAAATATAATGCCCATTGTTTAGAAGTTAGAAATGCAATGCCATTGTGAATGGTAGGTAGCTTCTTCAACTATCACTTTATTCTGATGTATAGCGCATTGAAAGAGTTCACGTCGATCAGTTATTGTTACAACTATGCCAATATATCATCATTTCATTTTTGGAATATGATATATATATTTAATCATGTTCGGCCATTGTACATTCAATTCTTCATGGCGATCACCCAAAGTGATTCCTTTTTCTGCCTCTTTGGCATATTTACCCTGGCATTCTCTTAATATAGCACCATAAATACCAGTACCCAAAGCGGTTCCTGACTCTTATAAGATTTATTAGTAAAAAGCATAGGACAAAGATACATTTCTATTGTTAATGTTGTGAATTCTGTGCTGAAGTTTCTAAAAATATATATACCGGGGTTTTTTACATGTATTAATTTCTCATATTCTATGATTATATACTATCAATGAAACCAACCCCTGTCACTCATATATTAGGCACATGGTTAAAAGGTAAAATATATAAAATACATATACATACATACATACATACTTGTATACATAAATACATATCCTAAAGATACAAACTCAATATTTGAATAATTGAGCTACAAACTCTCAGATTGTTGTTCGCCCTTTAACAGAAATTCATGCATGCATGCATTTCTCTTCAGTCATGTACATTGCTGGCAACTCATACAATTACTACCATTGGCTTTGGCCTTGTTCAGTTTACTTGAATATATTTTCAACCTAACTCAAATTATTATGATATAAACATATAATTATAACCTATTTCAGAATCTCAAACAATCTCCTAAAAATAATCCTTTCAGCACACGGTCTTGAAAACTCTCAGACATCAAAGCTCTGAGCCTTCATTTAAACCCCATTCAATACTCACAACTGTCCCCTACCAGCCTTTTTTGGCCTTTAAAAGGAGATCTTCAGCACACACATCAGATACTAAGAAACACACAAGATAGAGTTAGAGAGTAATAGCGAGAGCGATATCAGTTTTTTCTCTATTAAGAGGTATGGCAAAGTGGAGTGTTATGCTTCTTCTGGCATTTCTTATGGTTCATGCTACTGCAAGAAATGTGCCCACTGCAGGTACTCCGCCTACTAGCACTCCAGCTAGTGGTGCAGCTGGTCTTAATGACCAAAAGAACTTCCTCACATATGGTGGCGTTGGCGGCTTCTCCGGACTTGGCTCTAATGGTCTACCCTTTGGTGGAGTTGGGGGGATGGGTGGGATTACTCCCATCGGTGGTGGAGGTGGTTTAGGTGGTCTAGGTGGACTTGGAGGTGGAGTTGGGGGGATTGGTGGGATTACTCCTTTAGGTGGCGGAGATGGTCTAGGTGGACTCGGAGGGCTTGGGGGATTTGGTGGCGTGGGCGGTGGTACTGGTGGTGGAGTTGGAGGTGCCGTTGGTGGTGGAGTTGGAGTTGGAGGTGGAGGTGGAGCTGGTGCTGGTGTTGGCGGTACTGGTGTCCTTCCTTTTCCTTGAAATATTAGTGGGCTTTCCCATAAATACATAAAACTTTTTTCAGAAAGTATAATTATCCAAGTATTTCGCAGATGTAGTTTTATGTTGATTACGTGTGAGTCAGAATTCGTCTTCTTTTATTTAGTTATCTTTTGTTTGTCAATGTTTTTCATTTGTATTCAACGTTTCTATGTTTTTCTAATGAGTATTTTACGTAAATAAATCTAATCTTCTCTTCTCTACATGTTGTTGTACTTATCGTATTTGCCTACCACTTAATTCCTCATCAAAATTCTCATATCCATAGTTCTAACCTCAAGGTTGAACGAACATAAATTTATTTTTTGAACTATAACATTAATTCTTTTTTTTTCTTTCCATGTTACATATATATAAATTCTTTCGAGTCTTTCAGAAACCTTCGATCCTATTATAAATCTTACTATAATAATAAGTACCATGGCCTACATAATATTGAACTCTATAGGTCCAATCCCACTTAATGGGTTTAAACACCTTTCATCATTAACTCATAACTTCCCAAATTATATTAATTTAAATTAAATTGAATGGAATGTTATGTATATTTATCCCCAAAAGCTCTGTAGGACATGTCAACCATGCATGCCTGGAACCCTGCCAAATGGGACTACCTAGTTTAGCTAATCAAATCAAGAGAGATATGGCTTTATCTCTTTCTTTCTTTCTTTCTTAATTAGAAACATTTAATAGAAAGAACATAAATACTTGCAAGCAACGTACGCTAGAAAAATGCTAAAGCTTTGAGGGGGGTTTTTGATTCGTGGACCTAAATACTAATGGTCCATCAAACTATATATATGCCCGACCAAGTTAAACCTCAGCGGAGGTCCATGCTTCATTGCTATCAATATGAGTTTAATTCATGATTCCTGAGTTTCTTGGTCCCGAACGAAGACATTCCGGTGGCCCTGCATGCATGGATGCACGTTTCCTTTTCTAAAAGAAGTGAGCAGAAAACTTTAAATCAATCTATACTAGGGAAAATAATTATTGTCACAAATATGATTAATAAGCCTTATCATTATCAATCTAACTATATCCGTCTGAACTTGACCTAATAATAAAACAAGATTCAATTAATTAATGGCTCCAAGTTTTGCCTGTTTGAAAGGAGAATCTTGTTGAGTCGTGTATCAAACTAAACCAGAGTTATTGGTGGACAGTTCACCTTTATTGCAACTCCAATACTTTCGCCGCCATGGCTGTGGCACATACCAAAACTATTCATAATTCAATAGTATATTTTCCAGTGACAACGCCCACCCAACGTCATCATGTCCATGGTCCATGGGAGCAAAATTTTGGGTTATGTCTCATTAATTCAATTTTAACCAATTTGATTATTTCTCTGTTTTATGGAATATCGTGGCCATAAAATTGGAGTTTGGACCACCTTAGAGTACAAACTTTTTCCCATACATAAATGCTAGTGTTCAATAGGGGATGTAATGCACAAGAGCAGCACAAATCAATGGAATCGGGGGCGGGTGTCCACAATTGATTGCTGTACCTGTCTCGTGATATCAATAATTGATCATGATCTGCTTTCCGATTTTGAATTAACGCAACACTAACACTATTTTGTCTTACTTTATTACAAACAAATGATAAGGAAATTTAATTTTCCGATCACTTATAAATGGTATGAATTTTTATTTTCTATGAATAATCTGAACGATAAATATTAAAACGGCATTGCTAGTTGGTGAAATTTAATCATATATGCAGTTAAAAGTTAAAGGAGTGGTTGGTACTTTTTTTTTTTTAAACTAAATATAATCAGAGACCACTCGAGACCCTCTGGAAATTTAAGTGGTGCAGGTCCACGATAGTAAAAGCTCTCAGACAAGAGCGGATCAGACACATCTTTAAATAACCTGTCAAAAGTTTGTGTGAACATAATGCAAAAGAGCAACAGGAAAACGGGCCATGCATGACAGGTTTGAATTCGTTGGGTAAATTTTTCATTAATGAGGTGACCTACTGTTAGCTTGGATGGCAGCAAAACCTGAATTCCAATTTACTAGGGCTGCCAGCAAAATTAAATGGGGTTGAACCGTTGATCAAAACGCATACGACTTACCTACAGCTGCTACCGTTACAGTAAGGCTTACATGAATAGCTGGTAGGTTTCCAATATTTAATTTTGGTTTACATGGATGAGTTGCAAACGTTGCATAGAGAGTCAAAGATTGATTTCTGTACGTCCTTATCAATATTTTCGCAAAAACAGCCTCACATGGACCTTGGTTGTACACCCTGACTTCCGCTGGGGAACAACTAACACAGAAAAATATTACAATGTGCTGTGCGTCTTAATTAACGTAGCATAATTTTGGTAGCCCCACCTACCACGGATCAACTCTTTCTGCTTAAAGCCAACAACAATCTTCTCCATAAACGGTACTTATTTCATAATTTAACATCATATATTCGCTAGAATAAAATTTTATGTTAATGTTTATTTCAATAAAATATGTCTTTAATTTGTAAACATGTTAATGCCGTTACTTTGTTACCCCTATTCTTTTTGTTTTTTTGGGTATACACAGCATTATCTATAATTAAAATATAACAAAAAACTTCTTAAGTTTTATGTCCGATAAAAGGCTTTACAAGTTTAATTACAATTGTTTGTTTTGATATCAAATTTTTTAAAAAGTTTTAAATTTTGATGAAGACTGATTTTAATTCGTATGTGTATTGCAACAAGCAAAATCACAAGAATTCATCCAATGAAGAACTCTAACATAAGTCATAACAAAGGCATCCTTGTCTTTACGTGACATTAGGGTTTTTGTATTGACAAAACTAAAGTACTATGCCATGCCAGAAATAAGTGCATTTATGACCCTCTCAACATTCATTTAATTAGTAAGATAAGAATTGAGTATTAAGTTATTTAATTGGCTAGTAATCAAGGCATTTCCACATAACAATTGTTTCATCACGGTTGTAGGAACATTGGGAAAAAAAAACCATTATGGTACTTGACTTTTAAATCTTATCTAATTTATTAAAAATCTAAGATAAATTCAGTTTACAAAAAGTTTGAAAACGTAAAGGAAGTATTAAGTGACACTTCATGCCATAGTTATTATTTTGAATAATTTGTCTTAGTTTGTTTATTCTCTTTAAACGATTATTATATTTGTTTTTTTTTTTTTACTTTTTAGTTTATGGATGGAAAAAATATAAACACAATTACTAAAACTCAACTATGTTGAAAATTTATAGAAGTAAATATTCCTCCACCAATTGAACTAATGTGATATTTCTACACCAATTGAACTAATGGAGGAGCAAATTCCAAGTTCTGTTAGATTTAGCTACTAATCGTTGGATTTGAGATTATAGAATAAAGTTAGTGAAAGGATTATTGGTTATTTGTGGAAGTTATGTCTAAAAAAGAATCTATTACCAATAAATTAATCATAGATAGGTGTTCTTGTAGAAGTTGGTATTTTCGAGAAGCAGAGTTTTCATCAAAAGGCACTAAAGGAAAGAGCACACATCATATAGGTGAGTGGCTATGGTGTTTTCAAAGTATTTTGATACACACACACACACACAAGAAAGCATGTATGGAATAGCATTAGGAATACTTTTGAAAAATATGAAATTGTGCAGTGAATGATGATTACTTATGTTCTGATCCAAACTTAAGGTCCATGATCGGCGCAAAGGTCAAGTGGGGAGGTCCCACCCACCCAAGCAAGGCTTTAAACAAACAAATCGAATACAAATAATCAAATATCTCATGGGATGCATCACCATGGAACCATATATACATACATATATATATAAAGATGTATAACATCTCAAACATTAGTTTGCCCGGTCCCCGTGCTCTGAGTGTGGAAGCAAATACTATTCAAATGTCAAGAGTAATCCATCTAGTGGCAAATCCAAAGTATAACAGTTATTATAAATGTAAACATAATTCTATCCATGACCAGACCAGTAGAGTACAATTCAAAGAAAAGGGTTGACACCTATTAGATGGCTTATCAAACACCTACTAAAATCAATTGTAGTAGCAATAGCTTCTCCCAAAGGACAACAAGCCAAGCAATCCACTAATCTGAAATAACAAATGCATTTTACATTTGTGAGTCATAAATTACTTTATGAACAGATGCAGGGAAGGGGAATAGCTAAAACAGAAAAGGGTTTATCATATTACACTTTCGAATTCAATGTAAATAGATAAAAATCTCAAACATTTCCAAGCTTCGCTTTCGTGAAATCTAATCATATCCAAGTATTCCAAATAAATACAAGTGTTCATAATCGAATTTGAGTACTTTAATTGAAAATGAATTATTATAATCAAATTTGAGTATTTCAAATGAAGATGAAGGTTTATAATCAAATCCGAGTATTTCATATAAAAATGAATGTTTATAATCAAATCCGAGTATGTCAAATAAAAACAATGTGTATAATCAAATATGAGTATTTCAATTAAAAACGAATGTTTATAAAGCTTAGTAGTTAAAAAAACAAATCCATTTGTATCTATAAAGCCTTTATGCTCCCAAATTCCGCTTTCCAAACGTAATTTGATCATATCAAAGTATTTCAAGTGAAAGCAAGTATTTGTAAAACACAATAGATGAAACAAAACCATTTATATTTTTAAAATTCTTTTAAAAACTATGAAGGTTTGAAAGTAAGCTTTAAATATCGATGCTTTTATTCAAAGTATCGATACTTTTGTTTAAAGTATCGATACGTTTCAACCAAGATCCATTCTTGAGAATTCTAAAGAATAAGTATCAATACAACCTTCAAATGTATCAATGCTTTCTCCACAGAACTGAGTTGTTTAGTGTTGTTGAATTTACCATGCAAGTGCATGTATTGTTAACAAGTAATATAATGAAAAGTAAAATATTGTTTTCCATAGAGAATTGCACCAAAATCTTACTAAGTACTAAAATTAACACAACTTAATCCTATCCAAACAACCGATTTTTAAAGGTACTAAAACTTAAACAAATTAAAATTAAGAACAAGAATTGCAATTTAAATAAAATTAATCAATCAAACAAGACCTAGAATTACAATATCCCCTTAACACTTGATTTGAATATCTTCTACTCTTTTTTTACATAATAAATATCTAATTTGTTAACTTAGAATTCTAATGTATTTATAAGTCTCCATTGAGATTTTTAGAAAAATATATCTCTCA